ATTAAATGAAAGTACTTATCAAGAGCTATTATTATGAAAAAATAATTACACCATTTATTTCAAAATAACTTTCATTTTCTAACTTTAAATTTGCTTTAAATTAATTATTGTTTTTTTTTTCAAGGTAGACAAATATTTTTTTCTTACTTTAAACCTAGCATTATCCATTCACTCTAATTCATTATTCAATCACATGCAAACGTCTCTATTTATCTTCTTCTTTTTTTTTTTTTTAAGAGTATGGTATCTAAAGACTGGACAACATTTTATTTCAACTAGTCATTTAATTAATAAAATTTAAAAATTTTATTTTTATTTTATTTTTTAAAATTATTTAATTAAATAAAAATATTATCATTTCCTCTCTTCCATTTTCATCTATCCAAACAACACTAACTTCTCGTTTCCTTCACTTCTCTTCTCTTCCCTTCCTTTACTAATTTTTATCCAAACAAACACTAAAAGTTTATATGATTCACAAGAAAACCAAAGCAAAGTATTTTTTTGGAAGTTATGAAGTCGTAGTTAGGTGTGCATTGCAACTGGAAAAAAACATTTTAGGTGAGTATGATTGATTACTATTATACACCCAACCATGAGGAGCTCTTTAAACCAGGAGGGCAATGGGATAAAGAAACTAGATTTTTTGCCAAGTCTAGTGGTGGCTTTCATATGACATAGGTGTTTGTTAAGTTTTATTATATAACTTTTGAAGCAAATGGTAAATTTTGGAGTTAAAAACAAGTAGAAACCATTAGATGATTTGACCTAGTTTGTGAGATGTGAAAATAGAGTAAGGAATGAATGATGAACTGGAATGTAGAATCTGGTTTATCACACTTACCTGTGTGCATCTAAAGAAAGATTAAGAAGTTAGAAGATATGTATTGAAATTGATTAGCTAAGCATATACATGAAATGTTAAGACTGACTAGTTTGAAATGCAACTTATAAGCTATGTAATTAAATTGATGTTGGACTTTCCTAGCTTGTGCAAGATAGCAAAGCTATGGTAGATACATGTAAATGAAAATCTGTTTTTGTTTATGAAGTTTGTTATAT